TTACAATTGTTAACCACTAAGTTTGAAAATAAAAAATACTACCCTATTAAATTATATGTGTATCAAATCAAACTAAAATATTTATAGAAAAACAATCCTTTTATGACCTTTATTATTTTTATGCTAGTGAGAACCAAAACAATATGGAAATGAATGAGGGAAAACTGGATCCTACCACGTGATTTCCCGGCCAATAAAAATGTAGCGCTAAACGTTTAACGCAACCTTGTTGGAAGTCGCATAAGAAGTATCACTTCAAAAAATAACAAGTTAGCACACTGGTTGATCTTTCTCAGAATTTGATAATAAAATCAAATTTTTTTTTCTTTTTCAGGCAAAAAAAGAAAAATTCCTGCTGCAAAGGAGGAGTTGTAGGAAACAAACTCTTTTGTACGTGCAGAAATAATAATGCTTGTTGTGTTGAATTGTTTTACCATTTAACATTATACTCATTATAAATGTTTTACTTCTCTCTTTGATGGAAATACTACTTTTTGATTATTTACAAATAATAAAATTTTTTAATAATATATAAATGTATTTTTATAAATTTATATTTTCTTAATATTCACCTTTTCTTTTTCTCTTTTTAAAGGAGGTATATTTAAAACATAGTAAGTGAACGTTGAGCTCAAAATAAGTTACAAAAGTTGAGCTTGAACAAATAATTGTAATCTGGAATCTTATGAATGTAATCTGCTGCAGGTCGTGCCCTTCTAGATTAAAATTTGTTCAAGTCATTGATTTATAGAAATTTCCGAACTGTGTTGAATTTACTATCGAAAAAAATAAATAAAGAAAAGGATATGGCATTAGTAGGTAATCACTGTAATGTTTTAATTTCGTTTTTAATGCATTATTGTCGGGTTTTCCTTTTAAGTTCATAAAGTCCAAAAATGTATATCTTTAGACAATTTTTTTTACAAATAAAAATGATTTGAACATGACTTCAATTCCTCCATTGGAAGTGTTACTGGCAGCTATTAAAAAATCATAAACAGGAACCTCCATTTTACATTAAAGATTTAGATTCTCCTAAGAAAATGTCCCAATTTGACTTAAAAATTTATTATTTACATGAGGTCTAAATTTTAGACTTCCATCTTGGTAAAATCATGTTATTTAGCTTTACTGTCAGTTATAGGTTAATTCCTATATACAGTGCTAATTAAAAATATAGAATATGAAACTTTTTCATTCGATAAATCATTTGTGACTTCCATCTTGGAAAAAACGTGTTGCTAATTTGGATAATTACCCCATTCATTACAAAATATCGTAATGAAACTTTTTTAGTTTTTCTACTTATTTAAAAAAGAACTTAAAATCAAAACTTTATCTTTCTAACTTAGTAATGGGCGAATGAGGACCTTTTTTAAAAATCTTTATATGATACGTAATAATTGTCAGAAATATTTGAATTTTCTAAGTTATACAAATACGTAACTACTTAAATGGAAAACAAAAGGTAAGTTATAATTGTTGGATATATTTGAGTTCTGTAAGGTATGCATATGCATACAAACTACGTAAATAGCAGAGTCAAAAAATATAAAACTTGAAATATTATAAGACTTTTTCAGAATAATATTTTTTAGATCTCAGTACACAAAAGATTATTATATATAGATAACTACCCCCATGATTGCTTCGCAATAGTTCTTTTTTCTTGGAACAGTTTTTCTATTAAAGTTAAAAATATTCACTTAACTATACTAAATGTTTTCTTACGCTCTTGCGCCTCTTCTTCCCACGTCCAAATATTACTATTTAGTATTATGAACATTTAGATCTCTTGGTGAACAGAAGTGATTTTTTCGATTATCATTTTTTCAAATAACATTTATATTCTTAATACATTATATTGTTCAAACAAATTTGATGAGATCACAACCATAATTAAAAATTTCCGCTAATAATAGCAGTACTGAAAAATAACTTTAAATTAGGGATACAAAAATATTTAAAGGAAAATAATACCTTTACGACTTTTGTTAATTTTATGCTGATGACAACCTAAACAATATGGAAATGAATTGGAGAACACTGGATCCTACCACGTGATTTTCCGGCCAATAAAAATGCGCCGACAACAATGGAAAACGGTATATCAGATCATTATGATTTCATGTTATATAGAGATACATATAGATAGTAAAGATTGTTATATTATAGATATAAGGAGATATCATTACAGTTTATAATAACGGTATTTAATTACCATTTTTTATTTAGAAAAAGGTAAATTAATTACAAATGAAGCAAAAAAATCTGGTTAAAATTACCGAACTGTATGGTAATGACATTTCTGGTAAAGAAAAGAACAATTCTGGTCTATAAAACAAAAATATACATTTAGCAATTTTTCCGTTTAATAAGGTAACAGAGAACTGGAAATTCTAGTTTTCTAAATTATAGTTCTTTTTACGAGACATTTATTAAAGAAGACGAAACTTTTGAAATTTAACCAAATTATGGCGTTTATGCCATGCTCTCAGGTATCAGGATTAACTTACCACATTTACCTAATTTGATCGCATATTATGAAACCATATTTTATTGCTAACTTCACCAAAATCATTACCACCGCGCTTCAATAAAAATTACAGAGCTTTTTGGTGTTCAGCGTGCTAAAAAGACGGTAAGTTTTACCATGTTTTGGTAGTTTTTACCACACTTTTTTTCTCTGTGTATTTACTTTTCAACGGTATAAATTTATTTATGACAAAAATATTATGTAAAAAATTCATCAATTCAGGTGAGCCATGTAAATAACGAATACAAAATAGCTATTTAAAATTCCAGTGCAATAAGAACTTACTCACTACACTTTAAGTAAATGATCTTTTATAGTGAAAGTGTTTAATGAGTTACATAATTCCAATAAGAGTTTAGAAAGAAAAAAAAAGCTTGTGAATAAAGTTGTCATGGTAACCGAGCTAAATTTGATAGGTTTCAGTTTTATCTCGATAGTACTGGAAACTTAAATCTATGTAAATAAAATAAAACTTTTTGGGAGCATTTAGTGATGAATAATTTTAGGTTTTGATATAGTGGTCAGTTTTTTGTCAAGAAGCAGAAATGGATGCAAAGAAATGTTGAGAATTGATGAGCCAAGCGCAAGATTATACGAGGGTTGTAAATTAAGTAATGGCAACATAGGTATAAATCAATTTTTAATGAAATTACAAGTGCAATTGCATTACACTCCTTCTATGTAATCACCAGCAAAGCTTATAACCTTTTGCCAAATGTCGGGAAGCAGTTGTAAACCAGTGGCAAGGTGTTGATTGTTGATGTGAGCAACCGAGCGCCTTACTGCGTGGAGTACAGATGAAACATCATGAAATCGGTGCCCTCGGAGGGGTTCCTTCAACTTCGAAAACAGATTGAAGACACAAGAACTCATGTCTGGTGAGTAGAGAGGGTGTTCCAGGATTTTCCACTGACACCGTCGCAATAGGAGAGTGACTTTGTTAGCGACATGGCAAGGAGCGTTGTCATGCAATACGATAGGACGATTGTTGTGCAATAAACGTGGACGTTTGCGCCGCATAGCAGGACGTAGATGGTGCTGTAGAAATCGGCAATAGTAATTTGCGTTGACAGTTTGTCCTTCAGGAACAACGTGTGTAAGAATCACACCGTCTCAGTCTTTAGAGCGATGGAAACGAAATTCCTCAATTTAACGCCACACAACAACTGCCCTTCTAAACAGATCGACTGTTTTTTGCACTCTACACATCGACAACAGCGCAACTTCACCGCTCCCATATCCTATTTGCGCATGCCCACCCTTCTGTGAGTTTCAAGGTTAAGTTGCCACTATTTAATTTATAACCCTCGTATAAAAAGAAAACTAATATCTTCGAAAAAAAATTTTTTTTTCGAAGACAATTTTTTTAGACAATCAGTTTTTGACAGGGAACTGCAAAAAGCTTAATTGGTAAAATAATGATAAAACATTGAATTTAAATTTATTTTTTAATGCCATTAATATCCATTAAAAATAACTGGTAAATATTCACTATAAATTACATAGTTTATTCCAAGCGTTTTGAATGAAAATGCAGTGATGACTCTTTGACGCAGATGGGACACCGGTGTATATTTTTATATAATTTTTTTCCAACATTCTAATTACAAGCAAACATATATTTTATAATTTTTTAATTATTAAAGAAAGCAGTCTAGTAGTTACTGAAAAAATCTGATTATCGGAATAATATTTGTACTAAAATACGAAAAATTTCTAACTAATTGATTTTTTTAAAACAAAGAAATGTCAATGAAGTATAACTGTATCTCTAAGATCTAAATATCTGCACATAACTGCAATTTTGAAAGATTATTCTTCGGAAGTGAGCCGTGTTTGAAAGATTTTAACTTTGTCGCAAAATATAACACGGATGATTCATATTGTATGTTATAACCATTAATTATTAAAATCTTAAATAAATTTTTTTTTCACCCAATACAAAATAATAAAAAAAGTTTCCAAAAAATATGTTTTATAAAAATTCTTGATCAAAAGGTTAAAAAATGTAATTATAACGTTTGATGAATATGATTATATTTTACTTGTGTTGAAAAATATAATTAGCTCCTTTTTTGAAGAGTGTAATTATATTCAAAATTTATGTTAAACAAAATGCACATTATTATAGAACACTAGGGGGCTAAGCGCCCCTGTTCGCTGCCGCTAACCAACCCCGATTATTGCTTCTCAACAATTGTCTTTTCTTGGCAGAAAACCTTTTTTCTACTACAGTCAAAATTATTCGCTTAACATATATGTACTAAAAGGAATTCTATTTGCTTACTCTGGTATCTGTACTTCCCACGTCCAAATATTACTATCTATTAGTATTATAAACTTTTAGATCTCTTGGTGAACGGAAGTGATTTTTCGAAGTAATCATTTTTTAATATAACATTTATTTTCTTATAACATTATATTGTTCAAACAAATTTGATAAGTTCACAACCATAATTTAATATTCTCCCTAATAATAGTAGTACTGAAAAATAAGTTTATATCAGGGATACAAAAATATTTAAAGGAAAACAATACCATTACGACTATTGTTAGTTTTATAGTGATGACAACTAAAACAATATGGAAATAAATGAGGTAAAACTGGATCCGACCACGTGATTTTCCAGCCAATAAAAATGAGCCGACAACAATGGAAAACAGTATATCAGACCATTATGATTTTATGTTATTATAGAGATACAAATCCAAAAATATTAATTAGTAACCTCTTCGTTTTTACATTGTACTTCAGAACAGTAACAAAGTATATTTAGAAGAAAGTTTCTGTTAAAATAATAAACTCATACAGACGAAGAGCATTTTAGGACCCGAAAAATTGTGCAAAGTGAACTATTACGAAAACCATCTTATTCTTATACGATATTGTATAGTTTCATATTTAAAACAATATTTAAGAACTATATTTTTAACTCAAATATTAAAAAAAAAATCTCTCTCTCTCTCTCTCTACATATATATATATATATATATAT